CGAAACAGGTTGAGATTACAGTAAGGATTAGGAAAACAAAAATGTATAGACCAAATTCAGGCTTCTAGCTGACTGCTTCTGTTTTTAGCTGTGCTAATGTACTTTCGTCCATTTTTATAGATAACAGTATATTATACAGTATCAGAAACCACATAAGCAAGTCCATTACAGATTACTTAACAGCTTGACTTGGTCAGGTGTCAAGCTTACGTCATTTGTTAGCTACATTAACCTCATAGCTCCAGTGCTAAACTAAAGAATGAAGCATGGCTGGAGCTGGTGGTGCTCTAACGCTTCGTTAACAGGGAGACACAAGCCTGCTGTAATAAGGCACTCATTAGAAGGCCTCGTTGCCGTAGCAGCTGCTCTAATTGCTTTAATAGACCACGTTAACTATCTTGTCAGCTGTCAGGCTATGTAAACACTGCTTTTTTTTAAGAGTCTTTGATGTTTTTATTTCCTTTTAGTGCTGCTCTTTCTCTCTGAGCTTAATTGTGAAATAAACGGCTGGTATTGCGATTCCTATATTTTGATCAGCTACCTCAAAGTCAACTTGTACCATGATAATAGAAAAGTTTTTTTGGATATAAAACAGCTTTACTACATGTGCCAGTACCAGTTCCACAGCTTACAGCTTTACTACAAGTGCCAGTGCCAGTTCCAAGTGAAAAAGGAAGGCTCAGTATAAATAAACAGTTTTAATACCCACATTGCATCACACTGGACACTAAATAAACAGTCCAAACAGACGCTGGCCTGAATTCATTTTCATACACATACCCTTTTGCTTTAGAATCGAGGACAATATCACAGGCAACATATGAATGCATTTAATAATTGTTGTTATGACCTAAAATATTAAATATTATTATTAAATATTACCACTACATAAAAATGCAGAGCTTCATAAGAATTCAGTTCAGTGTGGGTGTAAAAATGCCTTGTTTTATCAAAGGTGGCAAGTCAACTGCATTGATTTTGGATTATAATCCAAAATATAATAATAAAAATAAAATAAAAATAAAATAAAATTCTGAAATTACCTTTAAGTGTAAAAATCCAAAATAATGCTTGATGTATTGTTCTTAATTGTCTGTATTCCACTAAAGTTCCTTCAGTTACATTTGTGTAATCCAGATTTTTAAAAAATCTATATTTAAAAATGTGCTGAAATTAGACTGAATTTAATCAGGATTCATTGAATAATTTCCTAAAGAATCATAATTGAAGGAAATTGTTGTCAGAGATTTGCACCCCTATAGTTCACTTTTATCAGTGTGGTTCTTTTTCCTACGCTCATTGTCCCAAAACAGCTTTAATACAGATGCAGCCCCCTAAAGAGAATCACTGAGGGACACAGTGTGAGGAGAAACTACCTGATACCATAAAGAAGAACCACTGAGAGGAACCAAGACTCAAAAGTTAAACCTCCTGAAGAGCATGAGAAAGAAGCACTGAGAGGAACCAAAAGAGGAGAGGAGAGCCTCCTAAAAGGAGAGCTGCACTATTTCTCTAGAGCTATAATTTGATCATGTTTTGTAGTTTTATTTACCGCGTTATTGTCTGATGATGTGGTTTAGAAGAATCAAACAGGCAATAAGGCCTTCATTGATTCAGAGAGAAATCTCTGAAGTGGAGAAATGTAGGTCAGTGGCAACATATCTGGACTATGAACCTCCAGTTCTTTAGGTTAGGGACATAAAAGGAACACACAAACATAAAATGTGGCCTATCCAAAAATTATGGCACATTTTATATTGTATGTGTTTTTTTCTAATATGTTAAACTCAGCAAATAAATTGAAATTTGCAGAAAAATACTATATTTAAGTTTGTTCCTTAAAGAGGATGTGCTTATTTTCACTTTCAAAAATCAACAAAACATAATTTGAGCGGGGTGTTCAGGGTTTTTCCATGCAAAGCTTTTCCACGAACCGTTTGTAATTCTAATTCATGACAACTACAACTGTTTTCTTTCAGTAGTAATTTGCCTAAAGAACTGAATGATTAATGATAAAACACTGGTTAATCAGTGATTTATTGCTTTCATCTCATAACCAAACAATGAGCTGATAAGTTGGGCATGCTAATGGTCATTAAGATCGCTATTTAAATACTCGGTCTTGATGAGCAATATGTGGTCTCATTTTAAGTTAATTGAACATCATTGAATAAATGAACAGAATGTAACACAGTGATTACTGTTCTGTCAACCTACTAACTGATATTCAGTTAATTCAAAATTTAACATCAGTCATGTAATTTAGATGGTGATTGGTTGACAGCTCAGCACCTCTCCTCACCCAAGTGTCCAAAACATATTGTCCCAAGTCAGATGAAATGACAACAAAGTCAATCACTGACCTTTGATCCAAGGAGCTCTGGTACCAAGTGCACTTATAAACATCCTTGTGTTCAAACTTGGTGTTATAGACAATCCATGACCAGCACAGAAGTCCAGTAACAATTCATCATTCAGGTTTAGATTGGGCGGGCCGTTCTTCTCAGTCACCCCCCTCCAGGTTTCCCAGTCATTGCCAACATGAGCACTGAAATCTCCTAGCGAGACTATGGAGTCTGTAGGTGGTACCTTTTCCAGAACCCCACCCACTCACTTCAAGAAGGCAGAGAACTATTGTTTGACCAACCCCTGTCAAGGAGTTTGGTTCCAGAGCCAATACTGTGAATGGAGGTGAGCCCAACTATATCTAGGTGGTACCCCTCAACCTCCCACACAAGCTCTAGCTCCTTCCCCCCAGTGAGGTTATGTTCCACGTGCCATGCTGCCAATGACCTCCCTGCCATCTCCCACTGCCCATAAGGCACTGCCCAGGTCTTTCATGATTTCTGTTGTTTGTATTTATAAATAACTGCTAGCTTAAATGTTCTAACTGAATTTATGTGTTTATAAATAGAAACAACTGCAATTGAGTGTGAAAACTCAAATGTTGAAGTTTTATTCTTTTTTATAGTTCACAGTTAGACATACTGTGCACTAAACCACATCAGGTCATGTCTGCGTGACCTGGAAGCAGTTAGAGCAGGTTGAGAAGGGGTTTTGGGGATGTATTTACAGAAAACATCTGGGTGACTATTGACTTCTAGTGTGAGCAATGTTATCCTTGTAGCTAAAGTTTAAAACTAAAAAAGCAAAATTTGGATACTAGACATGTTGTGGCTGATCTCCTATGTCTGGGGGGTGTGGAAAATTGTATAAATTTGACTTTTTATTTGTAGGACCGTTCTTTTCGCTATGTAACTAATTATACGTATAACTGTGTTATTTATAAGTAATTACATAATGTAAATCAAACACATAGCAGAAAGACATTAACTCTAGTCTTCCAAGGGTTAAAGACTAGTGTTATTAGACAATAGCTCAGACACTTAACCCCCTCACCACTAAAAGCTTTTAGGGTCATCTCCGGGTCAGCCGGCAGCAGCAGGGTAATGGTGGCTTTGTCAAAACAACGGGAAATTTCAAATGGTGGGGAAAAGACAGGCAGGCAGGGTTTCAGGTGTGTGTGTGTGTGCGTGTGTGTGTGTGTGTGTGTGTGTATGTCTGTGTGTGGAAACTGCCTTCTAAATGGCCCTGCATCAATATGACATGAGTCAAAAAGAGGAAGAGGCCTACTGGAGCTAGCTTGTCAGGAGATGCTAGGCTAGGCATTAGCAACGGCACTTTATTCTTTATTTTAGGTCACATTTCACATTAATAAATGATATGTTCCTACCGAACGCTGTATCGGTTTTAATACATTTCAGCAAATGTTTTTACATTGAGGTTTGTGTGTGTGTGTGTGTGTGCGTGTTACATTGCTGTATTAGTGTGCATTTGAGATGTCATGCATTTAGCAACCTGATTTGAAGAGGAACTCTTCTGATTCTTTGACATTTCTGCTTAATTAAATAACCAGAAAACAAAGTCATTCAGAGTGGTCTGATGTGAATTGCTCTATTCTAGAGAAACTTACTGAGCCAGAAATGTTAAAAGTGGTGGTGATAGGATCCAGACGTGCGAAGAGTTTGCCTCTAATGCTTCTCTCACAGAAAATTATATAAAAATGTTACAAATACGTTGGCATTGTTTTGTGATAGTTTTGAGAAAGTTTTGCTCAAAACTTTTTGTTTCTTTAAACATGACAGGGAGATATAGTCCTTACGTTTTCTGATTTTCCACTATTTTTCACCATAACATATATAGCTCAGAAGACACCTGTAAGTTCACCGGTCTTTTTGGATTGTACATAAAATGGCTATAATTGCATTGTCGACATTGTGACTGGTTCCTGGTTTCTCCACCACTATAAAAACATCAGAATTGATTTAGTTTCTCTATAGTGGAGCATTTTACATCAAATAATTCAGAGTGACTTTGTTTACACCTCAGCCATTGAATTATCCAACAGTTTGATGGGATTTTCCTTTAAGGTTTGATTGACAGTTGGAGTGATTGTGTTAGCTGGTCATTTGGTAATTTTTTTAGCTTTATGAAAGAAAGGTGATTCATTGTTATACTTGTGGCTCTTAAACCAAATAAACTGATTTCACTTGATTCCACTGACTAGTCAATGGTCCAGAGCATTAATAGATGGTGTATTGATGGATTATTGCTGTTTTCTTGAGTGAATATTGTTGGTGTATTGAGTGAATGTTGTTGGTGTATCGAATATGTATATTACTGGCATGTACTGAATTCCTGTATACAACCATTCAGAAATTGTGAATCTTTTATTTAAGTGATGAACAGATCTTGAGGCAAAAAACCTGAAAAAATGACTGTGAATAGAGCATTATATTGTATGATTAATCAATTAATAACCTCTTGTTGATTACAAAACATAACTTAATGTCATATAACACAAATCTACAGTATATATGTTATTATAAACTAACTACAATTATGAATATGAAGAGTGAAGATTTTTAATCTTTTTAATGTAGATGGTGAATGTGTATAAGTAGATTACTGAATGAGTATATTAATGTGTGTGTTTTCAGGCCATTCGCTGCACTCTGGTGAACTGCACCTGTGAGTGCTTTCAGCCAGGGAAGATCCATCTGAGGACGTGTGACCAGTGTAAACACGGATGGGTTGCTCACGGTAAGACTGTGTGTGTGTGTGTGTATGAATTTTCCATATACATATCTTTATTTTAATTTTTTTCTAGTTTGAGTTCTGTTGGTGGTCTTTAAAGCTTTAAAATCTTTCCTTCTGCCTTTTATCTCTCTTTCTCTCTCTCTCTCTCTCTCTCTCTATACATATATATATATGTATATCTTATATTTATATCCAAAATGATAACTTTACAGGAAAAGGAAAAAACTACTTTACTTTTAATGTAAGTCAGTGGGACCAGACTTTTTTCCAAGTTGTTTTGGGCCATTTCTTTAGGTCCATTGATCATGTAAATTTACACACAATGTAAAGGGCAACAGACATTTTCAAATTTGAAAAAAACTGAAAAATTACAAAAATGGAGATACAAGGTTTTCTTCCGACAGTGGCATTTTATATATATATATATATATATATATATATATATATATATATATATATATATATATATATATATATATAAAGATATGAGTTACCATTACAGTAATATGTTGTTACTGTGCAGTTTATGCGGTTACTATACAGGCTTCCAGAAGTATTAATGATACTCATCACATAATAACAGATGATTATTGTCATGTAACTTATCATGATAATGGTCACATATCATTATATGGCCCAGCCCTAACTGTAGATGTGGGGTTAGAAGTTAGAAGGGGTTTTTAGAGATGTAATCTGAGTGAACTGCCACTTTTTCTCTCTTCCGCTCCTCTTTTCTCTTCTCTCCTCTCCGTTAATCTCCTCTCCTCCCCTCTTCTGTCGACTCTTTCATTCCTCCGCTGCTATTGGCAGCACCTCTGACAGCACTTCTTCATTTTTTATTGTGTTCGTGTCTGGCCGAGGCTGTTGTCGGGCAAAAACTTCGTCAGCGTAAAAAAACACAGACAAAACCAGGTGTCACACAGACGGAAAAAAGTGGGAGGAGAGGGGGGGTCTGTTAGGTGAACCAAGAGAGGAAAAGAGAAAAAGAAGGAGAAAGAGTGAGAGAGAGAGAGAGAGAGAGAGAGAGAAATAAAAGAGATAAACAGAAGGAGGAAAAAAGAAAAAGAGAGGTATATCATCTAAGGAGGGGATTTCTATATTGAACTAGAGCTGTATGATATGGACAAATACGAGTATTGTGGTTATATTATTGTAGTCGGATGCAAAAGTTTGAACACCCCGGTGTTCAAAATTACATGTTAAGACATCCTCTATAGAGAACACACTTCTGTACATTTTAAAGCACAGTTACTGTTTATTTGCTGAATTTAATGTATTGGACAAATAAACCATAAAATATGGCCCGTGAAAAAGTTATGGCACATTTTACAGTTGATGGATTTTTTTCAATAGGTTAAACTCAATTAAGCTCTACAATTTGCAGAAGAATGCCATGTTCAAGTGTGCTCTTTGTAGAGGATGTGCTGACTTACATTCACTTAGAAAATCACAAAATATGTCATTTGACTGGAGGTGTTTAAACTTTTGCATATGACAATATATAGTGATTTCTATATGCCTACATGTATATTAACAATAATGGTCAATAATCTGTTAAAAATTAAATTATTTCTTATTGTCGGGAAACATGAACACTTTTGAAACTCATCAGGATACTCATAGCACACGGAAAAAAACCCTGTGATTGGTTAGAGGGCTCATCTGCATGTTGCTGTCTTCGGTAGTATCAATATTGGCCAATATCATGCTAAATAACAAACAATGTATAATTTTTATTTGTCTATTTCTAAATGGAGGAAAACAAACAAACAAAGAAAAACAATAAAAAGAATTACATTGTTTTATCCCAACAGTGAAGATGTATATGTAGTGTGGAAATCATGGAAAACTGTTTTAAGTCCTTCATGTGGGTGTATCCTGCCTTTTAGCCTCCACATCTGAGTGGATCAGTGAAATACTGCAGCTCAAACACAATCATTTATTCTCCTGCACATGTGGGTCTGATCACACACACGTTCAGGCAATACAGTAGCCGCCACACACAGCTCTTTATTTAATTTCAGTAAATAATAAAGTCTCACAGCAATTGAAAACTTTCACAAAGAAGGGCTATAACGTAATTTTAAGGATATTTCATCTATCTGCTTTGCTGCCTGTTATAAACATTTCAGAACAAGAATAATTAGCAGATTCTTGCACCTGGATTTAACAGGTTTTGTTTGTTAAATATGTTTCTGTGTTGGCACATTGATAATTCCTCGATAACTTGTTGATAATAGTAATAATTGGTGAGACACTGCAGGAAGATATGAAACATTTTTAACCTGTATCACACTGGAGCTTTCCCAGTTGATTACTCACATTCCTACAAGTATTTTCTGAATGGGAAGTTTGCAAATAAGATGTTATCTACTTAATTATGCATACATTTGCATATTAAAAAAAACAAACATCTAGCCTTTGGGTAATGTTAGGATTAAACACATTATTAAAATCTCATTGTTTTATTGTTTCTTCAAGAAAATAATATGCACTGTTCTTCGAAAATGTTTTAACAAAATCTAGCGTAAAAACAGCAACTAGCAAAATATTAAGAAATCATTCTATAATATCCTTCAGGAGGGGGATAGAAGTAAATATGTGAAACCTCATGAATGTAGATATTTTGGAATCTGATACAGTAAAAAAATGGTGCTTTAAATTTACGTGATGAAAATGTGTTCAAAAGTTGTGGCATATACACACTGTATCTTACACCAACACAATGTTACCAACAAAAGCAAACTTAAAAACAGTAATTGTGTTGATCCAGTAAGATGCATGAACATGCACCATTTGTGGGAGTGCTGCCTTTAAATGTGTAGTCTATTGCAAGTAATGTAATCCTTATTGTGTGATCTTGTATTTTTATCTGTGTGTGTGTGTGTGTGTGTGTGTGTTCCAGCCCTGGATAAGTTGAGTACTCAGCACCTGTACCACCCGACGCAGGTGGAGATTGTGCAATGCAACGTGGTGTTTGATATCAGCAGTCTGATGCTGTACGGTACGCAGGCCATCCCTGTCAGACTCAAGATCCTCCTGGACCGACTCTTCAGTGTCCTGAAACAGGATGAGGTCCTACATATCCTCCACGGCCTGGGCTGGACACTCCGAGATTACGTCAGGGGATACATACTGCAGGTAGGACACACACACATACACACACACAGCCTAGAGGTTGTCTACAGAAGTGTACATCTCTGCCAGTGAATCAGTCTGATTGCGATTCTCTAGGAAATGATTCAGTGAATCATGAAATCACAACTTTCACCATTCAGTTTTACACACACACACACACACACACACACGCACACACATACATGCACACAGAGCTCTATATTTGTGTACGAGTTGTGTATATCTCTAACACCGATTCAGTTTGATTGCGATTATTTTGGAAGTGATTCAGAAATTCAAATTTTAGCACATTTCGATTCAGTTGCACATACACGTGTAATCATGTTACACAGGAACGACCACCATTGCACAGTGATTCTTTTTTTTTTTTGTTTATTTTATTTATTTATTATTTTTACTTCCTTCACACGTGTCAGATGGTCCTTCTAGTTCTTACATGGGTCTTGCAAGCAAAATATACACCTGTATAAAGAAAGGCAGAAAACATGAAACAGAGGAATGAGGAAGGGAGGAAAAAGCGGTAGAGGAGAAAAATGTAACGCTAGCAGAGTTAGAAACCGCGGCTGAGCTGTAATTGGAATCAGACACGTTTGTTAATCAAAGCTACAGCGCTCACGGCCTCACGACCAAACCAGAGTGTTCCTGAATGAATTAGTGAGGAGCAGCAGAACATGTGCTCGCGGTTTAGCCGCATGTGTGTGTGTGTTTGTGTGTCAGGGCCTAGTCCGTGCCTAAGTGGAACAGCATGGACGAGCTGGCCTCTGTATGTGTGTGTGTGTGTGTGGTTTTTGGGGCCTTGTATTGTGGAAACAGCTTCTGTGAAACCTGCAAGCCTCTCACTTTCTCTCTCACTCTACTCTCTCTCTCTCTCACTTCCTTTTCTCTCTTTCTCTTTCTCTCTGTATGTCTCTCTCTTCTCTCTTTCTCTCTGTCTCTCTCTTTTCTCTCTCTTCTTTCTGTCTCTTTCTCTCTGTCTGTCTCTCTCTCGTTTCTCTCTCTTCTCTCTGTCTGTCTGTCTCTCTTTTCTCTCTCTTTCTCTTTCTCTCTGTCTCTCTCTTTTCTCTCTTTCTCTCACTCTTTTTCTTCCTTTCCTTCTTTGTTCCTTTCATTCTTCCAATTTTTTATTTCTCATTGTATTTCTCTTTGCCTTTCCGCTTTCTCTGTTTCTGTTGCTTTCTCTCTTTCTTTCTCTCTTATTTTCTCTTTCCTTTCATTTTTCCTCTTTCTCTTTCTTATTTCTCTCTCTCTCTCTCTCTCTCTCTCTCTCTCTCTCTCTCTCTCTCTCTCTCTCTCTCTCTCTGTCTATTCCACCTGCCTCTCAGGTAGCACACCTGTCACCACTAATAAGCCAGAGCTCCTTTCTCCTAGTAATCATACTGGCCTGCTGTCACACACACACACGCACACACACACACACGCACACACAGAGTGTATTCCCTGTCTGATCTTTACACTAAAGAGACATTATATTCACTTTGATTCTCTCTCTCTATCTCCCTCCCTCTCTCTCTCTCTCTCTCTCTCTCTCTCTCCCATTCTCTCTCACCCCCTTAATCTGCTTTGTACAATATCAGGCTCACAGTTTAAAGGTGATTTTTCCTCCACTTAACACGCTGTTATTAGACACCTGGATGAGCTACTGTGTAGTGTGTGTGTTCCAGAAAGCACACAGAGGAGGATGAGGAGGATTTAGAGGTTTTTGCCGGAGAAGATAACCTCATATGGTTCGGTTTTTGCCCAGTTGGTGAGAATATTTTGGATTTTTCCCATCGCTCTGTGTGTTACAGCACTTTGATGAACCTTAAAAACACAGAGATCAAATTACACCTTCACTACTGTCACTGAGAGAGAGAGAGAGAGAGAGAGAAAGAGAGAGAGAGAGAGATAGAGAGAGGGAGATGAGAGATTGAGAGAAGAGAGATGAGAGAGAGAGGATTGAGAGAAAGCAAGAAGAGAAAAAGAGCAATGTTAATAGGGAAAAAAGAGAGATAGAGAGAAAGGAGCAATGAGAGAGGGAGATAGAGAGAGGGATATAGAATGAGGGAGAGAAAGAGAGATGACAGTGAGAAGAGAGAGATGTGAGAGAAGAGAGAGAGAGAGAGAGAGAGAGAGAGAGAGAGAGAGAGTGAGAGAGAGCAAGGAAAAAAATAGAGCAGTGTAAGTGGAGAGAGAAAAAGAAGATACGAGAACAGAAACAGAGAGAAAAAAGCAGAGGGAGAGAGAAAGAACAAACAAGAGAATGTAGCAAAGAGAAATAGAAGTAGAAAGACAGAAGAGGAATGAGAGTAAAAGATAGAGAAAGAAAAGTAAATAGAAAAAGAAGTAGAGAGAGTTAGTGAGAGGGAGGAGAAAAGAACAAAGTAAATGGAGAGAAAAAAGAGAACAGAAACAGAGAGAGAGAGAAAGGAAGAACAAAAGAACGAAGCAAAGGAAGAGAAAGAAGAGAGATAAGAACGAGAGAAAAAGTAGAAAGAAAGACAGAAAACTGAGGGAAGATAAAGAAGGAGGGTGATAAAGAGAGAAAGAGGGAGGGAGAGCCTTAGCCCTTGGTGTTGTTTTCATTCTTCTCCCCATATTAATGATGTTAGATATTAATTTTGTGTAAAAGCAGAGAGTGAGAGTAGATGGCTGCCCTGAAATAAAGGGCTGGATGGCGAATGTATTGCTGAAGCATGACTAAGTACGTAATTTATCCGTCTAATAGACTGTTTAAACAGAGAACACGGGTCGATAGTATAAAGGGCCAACGGCTCGACGAGTGTTTTGAATTTTGATTTGCGACTGGAGAGAATTATAAATAACATCAATAGCCATTAAAACGAGCAAAGCCTTTTTTTTAATCGTCCCAAGATGCTTCATAAGAATGCCCTTCAAAATAACACTAAAATACTAATGCATGCATACATCACCAGAAAAGCATTAGTTTGAGTTAACCTCAGTGTATATGATTAGTCTAACATAGCTGCAGTAATACAGTGTAATAGTTTATTTAACTGCTTCTATGCAATATATTGTTTGTTAATTGCTATCATGATATTAGCCTTTGTAACACTGCTATTGCATGAGGAGCCTCTAACAAATCAAAAAGTGTTTCTTACTGTGTAAGCCTGACCAAAACCTCAAATATTTCCAACGATGCAAATAATTGTGGATAAAATAATGCAGGCCAGTCTTTAACTATGATGAAATTTCACCAGTACATAGCAATATAATCGCAGTTTGACTGTTTTGTCCATATTATGCAGCCCTAACGTGCAATAACAGGCCTAAAGGAGTCACTATAGTAAAATATAAAAACCTCTCAGCTTTTTTTTGTGTGTGTGTTTTGTAGAAAAGGGCTTTTATTGGGCACTCATACTTTGTGTTGTAAAGCCCTGCATTAATAGATTGTATGGAGGCCCAGGCAGGTTGTAGGGACATACTGTTTAACTGGAATGCTGTAAAATAAATAAATTAAAAAAATACTCACACACACATCACACAGGCAAACACACACACTCACACACATACACACAAATACACGCACATGTACATGCATACAAATACAGTCTTTATTAATAGTAGTAACGTAATAAATACAGTAAGCAGGTACAGTAAATTATTATTGCATATTCAAATAATTACTAGTAGAAGTAAATTATTATTAGATACCAAAACTCTTAATTCATTTTTTATGCTGATCATGAGCATATAGGGGAGCGTGTAATTGTATGGGATTGTGTGGGAGTGTGTAAATGTGTGTATGCCTGTACAGGTGTGTGAGAGTCTGTTCAAAGTTTGTAATCAATGTTGTCAACAATATAAAACCAATCCATTCATTAGTAGATAAAATTAATATGAAGATTGCATGGAGTTTGGAAAATGGAGATCAAGTTTAGAAGCAGGTAGCTTATCAAGAAATTACTGTAAATTGCTAATTAATGTACAGCAGTATATAATACATCATTTAAAAAAACTCTTAAAATACCTTCTACACTCTATTCACTGGGGTGGTCTCTTCAACATCTCAGTACCTTTAGTCAGGAAGCATAACTGTGACATAATAATAAGTTGTATTGACTCCACACATGCCGTCTCGTCTCCAGGCTTTTTATTTTATTGCTCTGTTTTAAAACATTAGGTTATGAAAAGATACAAATACATACTTTTCACCTGGGAAAACTTATTTAAGGTACACAATTGGACCTTAAAGCCACTGTGTAAGTGGGAGTATATGGTACCTGCACAGACCCTTAATTTCTAACAGTGTAATGTATTATTGAATAAAATAACAGCAATTATTACTATGACAATATGTCGATCCTTTGAACAGTAGATTATGAGAGTGACTGAGGTAGGAAGTATAATAGTTTTCTTCTCCTTAACCGAACTGATCGTTAGCCCCGTCATCCAGACCCTTGCACACTGTGCGTGTGCGTGTGTATCTGACATATGATTAAGCCCCGTCCCCCATAGTGAAGTATGAGAAATGAGAGAGTGAAGGCCATGGTTGCCAGCATTCCCCCTCGCCCTTTTTTTCACACCCTCTTCTTTTTCTCTCCTACTCTGCCAGCTCCTTCTCTTCTCCTCTCTCCTCCCTCGTTCTCCTCCAGCTGTGAGCTGTAAGCCGGAGCGCTGGGCCTGCAGCAATGGAGACCAGATGCCGCTTTTTCTCCGCTGTCACTCCACCGGCCTCTCCCAGACAGATGGAATTCCTATCAGTCTGGGCCTCTCTCGCCCTCTCTCTCTCTCTTAGGGAAAGAAAAGGGGGAGAGGAATAAAGGATAGGCCTCCGCAGCCTCCACCACATGTGGAACTGGCTTGGGTTGAGCGACATTTGCAGTAATGTTCTTGTCCTTGTAGAACATTGTGCTTCCTCTGGCGTTTTTTTTTTTCTTTTCTTTACAAGATGTGGTTTCCCTGATTCCGATGAAAGTTCCAGCAGGGCCAGATGGAACCTCTAAGAAGCAGAAGAGGGCATAGAGTAGACTAAACCCGTAAGGATTGTTGCTTAATTGAAATAG